TCGTTTATCTCCGACTTGTCTCCGTAGTATGAGTACGTTGCCTCACTGTTCGCCTTAATGAATGGCTCTTCTTTTAGGTCCACCACCGCCTCGTACAGGATGGGCCACACCTTCATCAGTGCATCCTATTGGTGTTGCAGAACGTATGCAGCGTAGGATAGACCCTCCCTGTCGGTGACCAGGGTCTTTCCAATCTCCATCAGGGAGTACTTGCACTCTGAGGAGTCGTCAGCGATGTGCTCCGAGAAGACATCGTAGTTGGTGAGCATTTGGAGGATACACTAGAGGTTTTCGGGATTGCCGGTTGGGAGGACACATGCTAGTATCTCAGAGGCGGAGAGAGGGACGTTGGAACCACCTTGCTAGGTGGCGTCGGGGACCTTGAGGTGGACGATGGCGTTGAGGGACATTGGGACACTGATCATGTTGGTGAGCTCCAGTATGACCAGCCTGGCGTAGTTTCAGGTCTCTGTTGTTTCGTCCGCCATGGCCGTAGAGCTTTGCTTCTGAGTTCTCACTTCTCAAAGACTACTGTCCTTTGCTGTTGTTGGTTTTTGATAAGGAAGTGAAGGAGCGATACTATGTAACTACATTGATTGGTTATTTGTTTCAACCAACCTAATAATCTTAGAAAAGACAAAGTATCCTAGGTCTACCTCTCGTGTCCGTATACTAGATCTCTGATCACTGATTTCCTTTCGATCCTACGCCACCATCTCATAAAGTAAACCGGCGGCCGCATTTGAGTCTTTGGCTTGTTTGGTGATCTTCGGCAAGGTGTAGAAGGGATTTGCTGTTGTGTTGGTGGCACCGTGTTAAGATGCATCGAGGAAGGCGAAGACGAACTTGGGTGAGTTGGGCAATAGAAGCATGATCACTGGACCTATAAATGAATTCGTTTTGCTCCATTGCAGTCTTCACTAAAGCAGCTGGAACCATTATAGTTACAGAAATAAGTTTTATAGAGAGAGAGAGAGAGTTCTGGTTTGAGGTTCACTAGGATCCTGAGCTTGTTGACGTCACTTTAACTAAAGAAGCAAGAAGATATTCCAATGTGCCACCTATGATTTTACTAACATGGTTTCTCCTGAGAACTCCGGTCATAATTGTCACCGGCGACCTTAACCTACCACCAAACAGAAGTGGAGAAGGAAGATGAACAACATTACCCTTTCTTGATATTTTTCCAATAAAAAAACTATCATATTTTAGTTATTATATAAAAATATTATTTTTTATTGATATTAAGGACAAAAAGTTGCCCTTGTACGCTAGAAACCCTTTTTTTGACTGAATCATATCTAATTCTACTAAGATGACAGTCCAGCTGGCTTGTCTAATAATTAGGGGCGATTAAGCCTTTGCAAAATGACTAAAAAGTATTCGAAAACCCAATTTTATTCTCTTTCTCCTTCTTTACCATCTCGAACCATCCGAACCCTTCTTTGCTATCACTGACATGTTCTTTTCTCCGCCAATGAATCACAAGAACATGAAACAATAGGAACCATCAAGTCAGAGTTCAGTTCGATGATATCTACCTTCTTCCCTCTTTCTCTTTCTTTTTCTCTTTTCTCTTGTTTTCCTTTTTTTTTTCTCCCTTTTTTCCCCTGTTTTTCCATTACCAGGAAAGAGGTGAATGGTGGTTGTTCATAGCAACTGTAATTCAATTTTAGTTCTTCTCAAACACATCTCCACTCAACAACACCAATAGAATAATGTTAATAAAGCCATGGGAGTTAGAAACTAGAAAGTGAGATCTAAGTTGTAGTTTACCAGAAAGCTCCCAAACACAAAGCTTCAAAATGTACTTGAACAAACTCCATAAGAGAATTCGACTGAATACAAGTGTAAACAAGGGAAAATCCGAAGGAAATAGAGAATCCGTAGAAATAAGAAATATTAGAACTCCATTGGTGTGATAAAAAAGACATTGTCTTTTGTACTTCTCAAAAGACATCATTTAATGGATGCCGAAATCATTGATGGCTTTCTTCAAGTTTATTCGTATCAAATCGTATAGTAGTACCAAGTACCAGCACAAATTGACACTTTAACCTCCATCAACATTAATGGTTCACAGTGGAAGTTGAGACATATTGATTCATTTATTAGACCAAACATAAATAACTTCACCATAAGAAAATAGTTTTAGGGTCCAAAAGAGTAGAGTGCGGGTGGGCACTACCAAGCCTGGGGAAGGTTTGGTAGGTAGGTAATTGAGAGTTCAAAAATGTAGGTCACCTACCAAACTTGGGGAAGGTTTTACCCTTTTACTAAAGATAACTCCATCAATTAGGTCTTAAAAATTTGGGTTTATTCAGTTCGGCTTTTAATCAAATAAACTGATTATTCACCCCTGATTATGGGTTGTATGAGGAAAAATACTATTTGGGTCAAAAAAAAGGGAGGGGGTAGATGTTAAAACCAATGAGACAAAAATTCCCATTAAACAGGCTTTAAAAAAGATATAAATGTAAAAATGGTAATAGAGAAAAAATAGACAACAAAAAACATACATAAATTCAATTATTAGGTAAAAACACTTGTCTGGATAAGTGCATTTATCTAGATAAGTAACCTACGTAAAAATGAAGGAAGCCTAAGTCTAATGATAGTCAGATATGTTCTACTGTTTCTTTATCATTGAGTCTAGTAGTTGAATCGTGACCGTGTGACAAGAGTGTGTTTAATTTCTTGAGGGCCCATTTTCTGGACCAAACGGTTTATTCGGTTAAAAATCGAACCGAATAAACTGAGATTTTAAATGAAAAACTGAACCGAAATTGAAATAACCGAAACAAAAATTTTCGGTTCGGTTTTCGGTTATTTTGGTTAAAATCGAATTTCAATATTATATATATTTTAATATATAATATATATTATATATTAAAAAAATATATATTATACAATGTATATAATAAATTATATATTTTAATACATAATATAATACAATATAATATATTTTATACATATTATATATGTATTATATGTTAATATATATATTATAGATAATAAAGTTCGGCTAATTCGGTTTTTTCGGTTAACCGAATTTTTAAAACTGAAAACCGAAACCAAAACAGAAATTTTATAAAATCGAAAAAGCCGAACCAAAATAATAAAACCGAAAAAACTGAAATCAAAATTTTCGGTTCGATTTTTTTGGTTTTAACCGAATAATGCTCACCCCTAATTCTCATCCAGCTTGGCCTGGCTGAGACAAACTTCTAACTGAACTGCTTAAGAAGCTATTAGAAAAATGCATAAATTAAAGGGATACAGTTTGATTTATGCTATACCCACTTGTTTAATTGGAATGGGGGCTAGATCCTCTAAATATTCATCATGTGGTATAGTTGATAAAGATATGTGATCTTCTGTTAACCTTGATTGCTTTACGTAGTTACAATCTTGACAATTTCCTAAGATTTTGGCATGCTAAGAACATAATGATATTTTATTGTTAGGGAAACAAAGAGATACTGATGCTATTCCTCTTGCTTCTTATAGGCCCATCCGAAATGTCTCAATCTTCGGTTTTCTATTAAGACTAGAAATATTTGCAAAGAATGATGGGTCCTGTTAAACAAGTTCTTCTTCTTCTTCTTCTTCTTCTCTCTCTCTCTCAATCCAACTGAAAGAGAAAAAGGTACACACTAGAACAGACCCTCCAAATCGGATTCCCAAATAGATCTAACATATGGAATTGATTCAGAATGTCAAAAAAGTTCAGCCTTAAATTAACTCAAAAGATTCCATGTCTTTTCTTTTCTTCACATCCATCTAGCTCATAGATAACTAGCTCAATTTGTCAAATAAAGTGCAGCTTGTATTAGTTTCTTCTCAATTTTTCTACAAATGATTCTGTTTGGGAACTGATTATTGTGAGAAGCAAGCAAAATCCAATGTTGCCACAAAAATGTGAACAAAAGAGGCTAACTGCCAAGTTTCAGCTTGCATATACAATTGAATGTACTGGTTGCCCAAGTTTGCAGTGGAGAAGAAGATTAATAAGTCAATATCCACTTGGAAGTTGAAGCACCAAATTGAACATACTAAACAGGTTATAGAATTTAACAAGTATTATGTGCACAATATACTAACTGATCCAGTATGACAGGAAACCATAGTTGATGGGAATGATAAGAAAAAATACCAAGTAGTAATCATATGAATTTACTACATAGAAATACCCTTGCTTTAATATCAGGCAGGTGTTTCCAGTCTCTGTATCTTTACGATCTTTATCTTGTATTTTATGTAATTAGTTCAATGATTTTTAAACTAATTCAGACAAAGAAAGAAAGTGAATAAATTTGTCAGATATATTACCTGCATAAAGATTTTCTGCTTCTAATTTATGCAGTTACTATTAGGTGAACTTTCTTTTCAATGATTACCTCTTCTGATTCATTCATCATTTTTCTTTTTCTCTTAAGACTGAAGAGCTTGAGAGTTGAAAGGGGAATAACCCAGGTGCTCTTTCATATTTTTGAGATAGGCGAGTTGTTATGAAGATATTGTATTGACACGAAAGCAAAAGAAGACTGAATGAGAGTGTGAAGTTGGTTGGTGCACATACATATTCATACTTGTTGCGCAAAACCCAGAAATGCAGATTTGAATGGCACCCAAAAGCGAAGAAAAGCAGATAAAGATAAGCAAGCAAAGAGGACACACAGATTTATGTGGTTTGGCTTATAGCTTACGTCCATGGGCAAAGGAGGAACAGAAATCCACTATGTAATCTGTAATGGAGAGGAATACAGAGCTGTGCACTCACAACCTCACTCACAAAAAAAAAAAAAAAAAGAAAACCCTAAACCCCAAATACACCCAAAAGTCTCGAGTTCAAATCAGCTCCCCACAATGTCCCATAGCACATCCCCGCCGTGTATTGGGAACATCTCCAGATGATAACATCATCATTTCTGATATTATCATTTGGAGATGTTCCCAATACACAGCGGGGATGTGCTGTGGGACATTGTGGGGGGCAATCCTGTGGGAGGCTGATTTGATCTCACAAGTCTCACACTTCTCTCACAAGACAGAGACTAAGTATACAAAAGAGAAAACCCTCAAAATACATAGCTCTTCGTATTCGATTCGGATCCATAAGTTGAATATAGATCGGGTCTGTACCCTACACTCCCACCACAAACCACTATAAAATTTTGCTTTTGGGTTTTTTCTCAAATTAATTCGGAACAGATTCATGAAGTGGGTCGGTTTTACAATTTTACTGTGGTGGTTGACTTCATGTTTATCTAAACCTTTTTCATGTTTTTTTGTTTTAATTTCTTTTCCTTTTTCTTTACTCCTATTTGGCCAGACTAATATACCTATACGCATATTCATATTCTTCTCACTTAACAATGAAACTGTCCTTCGGATTTTACCAATTTGATCAAGGTGAAGCCTGAAATATTCATGAAGAGAGAATCTGTGTAGGTTGCAACCAACTTTCAAATTTCCTACGTAAATGTTTTGGTACACGTTTGATTTGTTGTTTTTGTCATGCTGCGGTTTGTGCAGGATCCTGGGGTCCTAGGACTTGTAAATGATTGCGATTGGGAGCTAATCAGTCAACTGTAGAGTGTATACTGTATCCAAGGAGAAAAATGCAGTACCCTTCATTTGGACCTTTCATGGTAGATAGCATTCAAGGAATGTAAAATCCTACTCAATGATGAGCCTGTTGCAATCTACATGCAGTTTAGCATCAAGATCTCTGTAGTTAAGATTTTCAATCTCAGATTATCAGATTGAAGCATGTAGGTAAAAAGTGGGATTATCAATTTATCAGTTTGATACGTCTCTGAGACTGTCGTTGCAGACCATATGTTTGACTCCTGTTTTGATACAATGTGTGATTGATATCTGTCCCTGAGGCTGTTGCAAAGTCAGGAAAAGATTCAAGGAGGATATCCTTTCCCTCAACTTTCTATTTCTCTTGTTTTCTATCAAACCAAATGTAACCTTAGATAACAGGATCAATGTCTCTCCTCCTAGAAGCCATAATTCTCCTTTTCTTTCTTTAAAGGTTTCATGTGTTTGTAGTGCAATTTCGTATTTATTGGTACAAAAGTATAGGAGTATAAGTAAATCAAGTTCAAATTTTGGTTTACTTTTGTTTCAGGTTTTGTTTTGTTTGGAAGATAAAATAAAACAAAACCTGAAGAAAAGCAAAGTACAACACAAAGCAAAAGTAAACCAAAATTGCAGTCTTCTCATTTGCACTTCCATGCAATCTTAGTAGTGCAAATGAAATTCCACTGCAAACAAATGGAGCCTAAAAGTTTTGTTGATTTCTTCCAATCAACTCTCCTGGTTTATGGTTTATGGGGGGCTAGTTGTTGGCGCAATAAAAAGGTAAGACCTCTCTCTCTTTCTAGGTTGTGAGATTTGGAAAGGATGTCTGGTGGAGCATTCTATCACGTCTATGAAGAGGTCAGATGATGATAGCAGTTCCTCCATGACTATACAAGGACCCAAGAACAAATTATAATTTTCATGCCTAAGAGTTAAAACCAAAAAAAATATTTCAGTGTGTCCCTTGAAACATGTCAGGGAGTGCACATTATACCAATTCCTCCTTTGTAAACAGGAAAAAAATAGCCTATTGAGAATGGTGATAGAGCAACCCATTACTGACTATTCTATCTAAAGCTCTGTCAGATCAAGGAGTAGAACTCCTGAAGTATGTGGTCAATCAAATTGCAAGACATATCAAAATTCAGATCTCCAATGTTCATGGACACAGTAAAATGAATAAGAAATGAAGAAAGGCATATGCCTATTGGCTTAGTGATCCTTATTAATAGGTTCCTTAAAACAAGAAATTAGGGAAAACTAGTCTCACAATCAATTGTTGAAGCAGAATACCATATTGTGGGTTCAAGCCCATGTTTTCTTGGTTGACAAACTGCAATTTAACCCACAAGATTGCAGGATCATTTCTGGCAAGCTAAGAAAAAGGAAAAGATAAGCATAATATGGTGTTCTAAAATTTTCTGGAATTCAAACTTCTGATTTTTTTTTTTAAATTATTATAGAATTGATACCAAGATCTTCATGCCGAAAAGTTTCTGGATTAAGAAAATCAGAGTAGATGAAAAAGAGGTTTAAATTGCAGGATGGTCAATGAATTTTTTGCAGTTTCTCTGGGATATGAAAACATTTTTACTTGCGGTATTGATAAAATAACAATGTGGCTGGATATTTCTTGTTATTATATTTTGCAGGCTAGGAATGGGATTGTGTTTAGTAGAGGAAACCTGCCAAATGCATGATTAGGAAGATATTTTACCATTTGGAATGAAGTTTGTTGTCTGCAGGATGATGACTATTCTGTTAAGTTATTTAGTTAAGCTCTAGACAAGGCATGGACTTCATGTATGAAGATAGAATCTGACTCTTCATTATCTGTCTCTGCTCTTAATGGCTCAGGTTCTGCTATTTCTTGGTTATTTTGCGATTCTTAGGACAAAAATCAGGCTGACTTCCTCTTGCTCTGGAAAAGCTTCATTTGTAAATGTTAAAAGGGACTGTAATCTGGTTGCTCATCGAATGGATCAGAAGGTTAAAAATGTATTAACTTGGTAAATAGTTAATATTGATGTTTATTTACTCACCCAAAAAAATTGCACACACCTGATGAACATTAAACCCAACTTAATTCCTTAGACCTTGTGGGAAAACATAGCGTTTTAGAAATTGATGGTCTAATCTGATCTTTTGTTATCCATTTTCATGCACGAATTTTACAGCCAAAGAGTAAGAGGATTTTGATTGCCCAGTCGATTTGTTTGCAACATTTTAATTGAGAAGAACATGAAACATCATGTACAAATGGAAACGCAAATAACAAATTTTAGGACAAAAGTGAGATCTGCTGCCATCTCTGTTACTGTTTGGGTACCTTCGCTTTGACCATTTCAATTCAATTAACTCCAGAGACTGTTCAGTACAGAACCTCACAATTTGAAAGAATAAATGAATTGGTGTAGTTTAAATTTCAATAGTCTTCTGGTTAAGAGCCATGTATCTCCATCTCTCCTTCTCCACAAAGTCTGCATCCAGGAATTGGGCAACAAAAACCCAAAGTCTGTAAGTGTCCTCAAAATTGGCAAGGAAGCTGAATGCAGCGGTGACCACAGTAATCCCCAAATCACTTTTCTCTTTTCTCTTGTTTCCTGCTCCTCCTGATGCGCCATGAGTTCTTGTCTCCAAGACTTTCTCCTTCTCTTCTTCATACTTGTCCGAGAACCAAATGTTGTGCAAGAAACCATATCCTACAGAAATATTGCTTCGGTCGGCAAGCTTCTGTACAAGTACAGGGTCAACCTTTTCTCCCTTCCAATCAAACACATTGAATGCCAGTGCCGGCCCACGGTCAAACTTTATCTTTGGTCCATAGATTCTGATCAGGGGAAGATCATCCTCTGAATGAGGATGCTTGAGCTTCATCAATGCATTCACTAGCCAATTGATCAAGTACCTTGCTCTGGTGCTTATGTGTATCAAGCCTATTGAATCTGCGTGATCCAAGCCTTTGCATTCAATCTCTACGCTCCTATCCATTTCTCTGGTACTGGTTTCTGTACTCCCTGGTTCCAGACACTCTGTGGGATTCCCTGATTCCACGGTTTCATTTGATAACGGTTCCTTGTGCTTGGCTTCTTTTTCACTTAACTCCAAGGTCTTACCATGATCGACTACTTCAATTTGCCTTCTCTGGCTTGAGCTCAAAGAGGTATTGTCCTCTTCGTTACCTTGCTGAGCAGATATAGGACCTGAGAATGAGTTTGTGACAATTGAACTTGAATCGTCTTCTTGCACCCAGAATTTAGAACTCTGTTGGGTATCCATTTCAGTGCCAGAGTAATCACTGGTGAGTTGAGACAGTCTTTTTGCCGGAACAAGGCTCACGATTCCAATACCTGTGGCCGCGGTTGAGTCCTTCAGGAGTGAAGCACTCGATCTCTTAACAAAGAGGCACGCAAAGCCAGCTGGGTTCTCCCCGAAGATCTTGAAGAAAGAGCAGATAAGGAAGTCTGGCCGAAAGAGCGAGAGGCCCAAAGTGTCCATGTCTTTTGGTCCTAAAGCACAGATATCAAGCAAGACATGCCATCCATTCTCCTGTGCAAGGTTCATCCATAGATACGGGTATCGGGTTCCGGTCATGCAAGACTGAAGCGGGAAGACGAACAGTCCTCTCTTCTTTTTCCTCTTACTCGCAACCATCTTAGTCAATTTCGCAGAGTGAACTCTGAGGCCTGGCCAAGAAAACTCAGCTGACATGACTCGGGCTCCTCGTTTCTGGGAGCTATCGATCATTGTATCCACGGCCTCACTTTCATAATCGTAAACTGTCAGAAGTCTGGGATTAGATTGGAAAGGGTAAGAATCTGCCAGAAGCTTAAAAGCGGAGGTCCTGTTGGCTGTAAAAACCATGGAATAGTCTGATTCGGAGATATTAAGGAAACCCATAATTCTTTTCCGTATGCTGGATTCCAGTACAGATCCTTTGCCTCCATACGCTATCTCAGAAATCAGACTCGTTGACTTGTAGGAGATGTCGAAGAAAGGGAATTGGGAATTATGGGGAGGCGGAGGCGGAGGCGGTGGCGGTGGAGAAGAAGAAGAAGAGGCAATAGTAGCTGCTGAGGAGTACTGAGCTTGTTGCTGGGAGTAGGAGAAGAGGCCAAGACCGATATAATCAAGACATACGCGATTAGAGATGGAGAGGTGGTAGTATTCCTGGGCTCTGACGCGGTCAGCCAGATGGGTCTGGGAGAAATCAGGGTAGGCCTTGTTGAAGTGAGAGAAAGAATCTGACGAGGAAGGGAGAGACTCATGATTGGTGAATTGGATGTTGGGGAAAAGAGAGGAAGTGGTGACGGTGGCGAAGTTGTATCGGGAAGCGGCAACGGTGTTGGAGGGTTTCAAATTGGGCTTAGGGGGCTCAGGCAGGCCTAGAAAAGGGACTGGGCAGCAACCTCGGCTGCAGGATTGTGAGCCATCTCTAATGCAAGGCGAATACATCTTTCTTTTCTTTTCTGATTTTCTCTTCTCCCACAGTTCTCCTTTTCCTTCTTTTAAAAGTTTTGTTGTTTTCTTCCAATCACCTTTCCTGGTTTATGGTTTCTTTCTGGGTTGCTACTAGCTTGCTATTTGTTGGCGAAGGGAAAAAGGAGAAAGGAGTAAGACCTCCCCCCCTCCCTCTCTCTGTCTTTCTATGGGGCATTCTATGAACAGTCCAGATGATGGTGGGACTTGTTTGTTTTGCCTAGAGAGAGAGAGAGATCTGTAATCTGCTCTAGATTAATGAAGATGGTTGGGAGAACTGGAGAAGGCTTTATTTTGTTGAGGCGAGTAGAAGAGAATTAATGAGGGTAACATCTTAACTGGTAGTAAAAATCATACAGGTGGGTCTTTGACCATGAATCCACACCAAACGATTGAACAAGAGATCGATGGATCAGGATCCTTGAATTTGAAGGTTTAGACCCCACAACTACAGTTGGTTGGCATGTTCTTCACTCTATCAGGATTGACTCAAATGCTCTCACATGGTACGTAGTAAACTTTTGATGGGGGGGACGGGGAAGGAAGTGGAACCAATTGGGAGCAAGAAGCAACAAACAGAAATGGACGAGGGGGGGTTCGCTGTAATGGTCGGCACATCCATGCTGGAAGGCTGCAGCTTCTTTAGAAAGGTTCTGACCTCTCATGTTGAAATGTCCCCATCTTCATCTATAACTATGATGTATTCACACAATTTGGAAGGGTTAATCGTGTTAGTAGTATATATAGCCTCTGCTTATCGGAATGAGCAATCTAATCTACAATAGTAAAATTTGGACCAAGTCTTTGTTTCTTGTCCTTTGTTCTTACTTCCTAAGCACACAAAACAAGCTATATATGCCATTCCACGTTCTATAACAACAAAAAAAAAAGTCTATGACTTTATCCACCTAGTTGTCGTGTTTCTTGCTTTATTAAATTAGATGAAATTGACTTCACTTTATAAGGGTCAGATCTTGTCTGAGATGGGTTCTTAGGGGGCGTTTGTCAAACACACCCTAGAAGGCAGAATTAAGGAAATTGCTTAGCCAAAAACACACCTAGAAGGAATTAAGGAAGTGATTCTATTTCGTTTACTCATTGCAATTTAGCCACTTCATATCATCTAAATCCGATGCATTGCTAGAATAGCAATAAAATTAGAAATGGGTTTGGTTCTTCATTCTAGAATAGAAGTTCAAGTGCAGTGGAACAACAAAAGCGAAATGATTTCCTTTCATGTGACCTTCACACACCCACTTGCTGTTTTTTAATGTCCTTCATGGTGGAGACCCCAGAGAGAGAGAGAGAGAGAGAGAGGTAATGCATTTTTCCAGACATGTCATCCAGCAAAAGAAAAATAATTTTAGAGGGGCCATGGGCCCACCGTCACCATGCATGATTGGCTCCCTTGATCCACCTACTGGCTACTTGTGTTCGTCTTCACACGATAACCCCTCCTATGATAGAAGTTATCCTTATGGGTATTTCCTTCAGGCCCACGTATAAAACGGCTTTGGCCCTCCACTCCACATGCATAATGTTTAGCAAGTCGGGGTCTAAGCATCGGTGGTCGATGGATCCTACGCAAGAGATAAATTTGCCCTCCTTTGGGAGTGTTTATTGGATAAATTATTACTAATAATAAGTGTTTATAAATGTTTACCGAAAAAAAAATATCACTTATTTCAATTGAGGGTAGTATAGATATTTTGAAAATTACGTGACAGGCCAACAAGACGAACCAAAAATCCAATAAGCATTTTGTCAAAAAGTGCTTGAAAAAAAAAAGCCAATTTTTGAGTTTATATAAAGCATGCTCATTTCCTGAAAAAAGTGCTTATTCGGGCTAATTTCCCAAACACATACTAGTGCTCATTGGTATGGTTCTCGCTGAAAATAAATGTTTTTTTTTCTAATAAATATTAAAAAATAAGGGTATATGGAATTGATTAATGTACCTGGCCCCAATCATAAACTAAGGGTGTAAATGGTATTCTGTCCGAATATATATAAAAAAAAAACGTTTGTGATTGGATCAAATATGAATCTGCCCTGATCCCATCTAAATACAATATAATTTGACAATTGACATTGAAAAGAATAGAATGTTAGAACATGATTAATGTGACCTGCCTTAAAAAATTGGGACAAAGACATAATTTTTTGAGTTGCCTATATAGGATTATATATAAAAATTAGGGAGAAGTACCAATCAGCCCGATCAAAATTTACTAGGTGTAAAGTACAGGGGGAATGCATTCTGACCGTGAATTGATGCCAAATTTATGGATAGGATGTGGTTTATAGGGGGGAGAAGGCTAGCTGTAAAGGGGGCTGGAATTCAGAATTCTGCATCGTGTGTTTCCATACTTTTCCCTAAAAATTAATACATATCAATAAAGTTGATTTCAGAAAATCGAAATTGGCTTGAAAAGAGGAATCACCCAATTTGACGATTTCTCTTTTCAGCCCAATTTTAATAATTATTTTCTGACCAATTTTCCAATTTCTTAAAAACCAACCAACCAAACACCAAAATAATCGAATCGCTGATGTGACTTCGTTGTGACACATAAATCGGCACAGTCCCAAACACCAGCCTACCCAATACTCCTTCCAAACTGAGCTTTTATTTTACTATACAATATATAAATTATTTTTAATTTATCAATGGTGTATTGCATGTCTGAACCCAATCCAATTCATACAAGTGTAAGTGAAATCTGAAGGCTAAGATTCAACTTGAATCCGAACTGGGGATCTGATTTATGATGCAAGGGGTCACAATGCTCTAAGCATGAGAAACGTGGCAACATAAGAAGAACAACTTTTGATAATTGAATTGTGGTGATTATGAGGCTAACCTAAAGAATGGACCCCGCAATGAGAAAAAGTGAAGAAATTAGTTATTATTTTCGGTAGGGATGGAGTGGGCTGTAAAGTGGGAAGGTTTTCCCATGGGTAGGGCAACCCAACAATGATGCGAAACAATACTATTCACACCTTTTAAATCAAGGGGGTGTTCTGTAGTATGAATAAGAAATTGGTGGGTGTGGATTGGTCTACATCACACCTTGTGGTAGGGACCAATCCACACCACACTACGATCCATAGTTGTTCTGAACTGTGGACGAATTGTATAGAATAGATCAGTCCACATCCACAGTGGCATTTTGTAGTGTGGTGTCCACACCACATTTGTTTGATTCCATGTATCTCATATACATTTTATAAATGGTATACATAATTAATCATAAATATCTAATTTTTGTATTATATATTTTATATATATTTATATAATATTATATAAATTATAATTATATAATAATATATTAATAAAATAAATATTTTTTTAACTTTATTATACTAATTTATTTAATTATTGTATATATAAGCAATTTTATACATCAAAATTCATATAAAATTAAAATTTTAGGTTTTTTGTCATTTTTTTAAATAAATAGCTTTGGGCCAATGCACGGCCCGACTTGGCCCACACGCTAGCCTGGCCCATGGCACAGCACGACACGGCATGGGCTTGGGTCGTGGGCCGTGCCAAGCTGACTCCCCAAGTATCCCATGTCAACACTCTTGCATCTTCTTCTATGTTTTTTATCTCCATGGTTGTGATACAAACTCCGGCCATTGTAGCTTCATTGTTAACTTCATCATTTTCAGCCAATAGCTCATCAATGTCAAACTCCCCACTCTTAAAGGCATTCACAGTTTCACACTTGAACTTGGTTTGGTTGGTTCAATTGACTCTCCATGGGTCTAGGGTCTATAGAACTGTTTCACTCAAGGTTGGTTCAACTCGAGCCTTCTTTGCATTAATTAACTTTTGTCCTTTCTTGTGATTTGCCCATCTCTTTTGATCTCCTTTATTATCACACTTTTTTCCTTCCTTTCCCTTAAGTCCCTTCTATGTACATAGTTGACTCAAAAATATGTATATGTGCACCATCCTTGAGTATAGTCCGCCCCCTTCCTTGTTCTCCTTGTGCCACCTTAGCTAACTTGAGATTTGTTTCCTACATCAAATTTTCACCAGTCCCATCTTGATAGTACTCTTTACTTTTGAGACCTCTCCTTGAGCCATTCACACTTTCAAGGTCAACTCAACAATCGTACCTTCTTCCTAAGTTACCGCCTCGATTCAACTCATTGAAGCACTTGAGCCATTCACACTGTCCAAGACTTCTTCCCCAGTGGGAGTGTTCTGTAGTGTTAATAGTTTCTTTTAACTTACTTCTGAAACCTCAGTGAAGTCATTGTAGCACTTGAAGCATGAAAAGAAGCCATTGAAGGCATTGAAGCATGAAAAGAACACAAATATGAGCTTTGGCAGAGCACAACATAGATTTTCAGCTGTGGAGACCTTCGATGAGATCTTCGACTGTGGTGACCTTCGGCGGAATACAACAGAGATCTTCGGTGGTATACAAGAGGGATCTTCAACAGTGGAGAACCAGCGGTGGAGAACTTCAATGGTAAAACAACGTATAGAGTTTGGAGGGTGTGCGTGAATCAGCATATCAAAAACAAACTGTGGACGGACTCCTTCCATGAGAAATTACCGTTGACGCTAAAATGGGGAGTGGACAGGACTGGTCCACGATATAGTGTGGACTGGTCCCGTCCACAGCAAACCGAACACTTCCTTTATCCCGTGGCGTGGACCAAAACGGTCCATCCACGAGCTGAACACACTACCGAACACCCCCCAAATCAGCTTGATTTATTGTTGAAAGTAGACCTGGTCATAGGCTGGGCTTCCTTGCACTGTTTCAGGTTGGGTTCATTAGAATTTTGACAAAATCCAAGCCCAAACCCGGCCTATGAACAGGTATAGTTGAAAGGGTGTAAGTCTTTGATGCTTAAAAAAAACAAAAAAAAAAACACTACAATTCATTCATTTGAGCATCATTGGTATATTGGCTGTATCAGTTGGCACCTTGGCAACTAAGGGAGACCTCGGCTTGGCACCTTGGAAACTAAGGGGGACCTCAGCTCGGCACCTCATCAGCTAAGGGAGACCTCGGCTTGGCACCTCGACAACTGAGGGAGACCTCAGCGGCTCAGCACCTTGGCTAGTAGGGAGACCTGCAATCAGAGGCAGTTGAACTCGAGCCTAGCCAAGCTCAAACTTTCAAGCTTTTGACTCGAGCTGACCTCGAGCTCAAGTCGATAGTTTGAATCAAACTCAAGCTCGAATAGCTAGATATTTGGCTTGGCTTGGCTTGAATACACCCTAATTGGCTGCCTCTATTTTCAAATTTTTATCTATTATTATATTATATTTACATGCATTATGAACTAGTTGATGAATAGAAGAGTTTTGATTTCTATATATACACGGAATAACTATAGAGTCAATAGTATCAAAAAAAGGATAGAGTGGTTTCGTTTTTTGCCTTAACATCCCAACTTTCGTATGCTTCATGCTTGCAACTATGTATCCACCATGATTTCTTCAAATTAATGAAGTTTATTTCATCTTTTACCAAAAAATAAGAATCAAAGTCATGATAAACAAAATTGTGGGTCTTAATGAAGCAAAACTACTCGTACGCAATCAGTAGCCCACTCCATCTTTATCTATCAAATGCATATAGGAAAAGGATCTTAAAAAATGTGTTTTGAAGAGAACAATTGCTTTAAAGATCATTATCTATCAATGTTGCACGATTTGGTCACTCCTAGCTAGCTGTGACCTGGCTTCTAACTGGAACGAACGGCACCTGAGAGGAAGGAAGAAGTGAAGGGTTCCCGGGGAGA